AGGGGAACAGAAGTATGTAAGCATTGGTATTATGGAATAACTCAACTACTGAATGAATTAAAGCCAAAAATCCTCACATCTGAGGAACACCAATATGATTAATAAAAGATTAAATAAATTTATAAGATCAGAATACCACACTTGATTCAAGATCAAAATTGCATCTGCTTAACAGAGAAGGAGATAGCAGAGGCATTCCTGTCCAGTTGTGTGGCTTTTCATCAAAAAGGACATCTGAATATTTTTGATGGAGTCTTCTAAGGGAAAGCAGAACTGCATAGCAATTAAATTAACAGCTTTGGTAACAGATCAACACTTGCTTGTGACAAGTAATTAAAGACAAGAAATCTGATAGCATCCTCTCCTCTTCAACTTTACTCTTTGGCACGCCTTTCCCCTTTACAACAACTTAGTTTTAATGCATAATAAACTTTTTTTTAGAAAAAAATAGTAAAAAAAAAGAAAAAGAAAATGAGCAGTCACAAATTCAGTGAAACATAGCTTTTTTTTTTTCCCTTCAACCAAAATTGAAAATTTATTTTGCTTAATTCGGGAGCCTTTGAAAAATCTATTTATTTCACTTTTTTTCCCCTTTTAATCTAGGTCAACATTTAAGCAAAGAAAAAACAATGGTGGAGTAAACAAGGTAATTCTGAAAATGTCCAAAAGATTTTCCAAAAAAAAAAAAAAAAAAGCAAACATTGTCTTTCAAAACAAGAAATCCACACCAAACTATACTTTCTTTCCAAGCCCTAGAGACAGAGGTACTTTTTTCCCAGGCACCCTGACATTCTCAGTTCAACCTATCGTCATGAATAGATGTTCTGCAGAATCACAGTAGGACTGCTAATCTGAACAGACATCCTGTGCATGCAAACAAATGTTTCGGTGCTGTTCACATCAGCCTGCCAACACCACAGCTCTCCCAAGCACAATGGCTCAAGCAAGCAATGAAACCCAAGTTGCTCATGTTTCACACTGCAATCTTCTCTCTTTCTGTATTTGACTTTTGCCAGCTGACACTATCATTTTGCAGCCACTATGGCGATGAGCCATGCTGTTCTCTCTCACACAGATATTCGTCTTTTAGTCAAACTTCACAGGGGTATGCATTGCTTTGTACATCTTCCCAAGCAGGCAAGAAAGCTGCCAGAAGCCATGATCTTCTTTCAAATGTATGCATTAATGGCAGGAAATGCTCTACTAAATGATCCCTTATTAAAATGCACTTCATCATCATACACTGTTCCTCTGCTCACAGTTGCATTTTCCCTAGCACACAGGACCCCAGTTTGTCACTAGAACCTAAGTATCAAGTCTTGAATGTGTAACTACAGTCACATACAGCTAAGACCTGGGAATTCTCTGGATGTGTCAAATACAATCCAGAAGAACTGTTATCCTGAAATAAGCAAAGGAAGAGAAAATGTTAGCTATTTACTTATTAGCCAGTTGTGGAAAAAAAAAGTTTGTGCCTCTTTGTGAAGATGCTTTAGCTTTACTTATCATGGCACAGGAATTTGTTTAGCCATACCAACACCATTTCTGTAATATGCCTCCCTCTTGAGCCACTAAGAGCCAAGAATTCAGCTCTGGCCCTCACTGTAACCCCAGAGGCATAAACAAGATCCTAAAATATTATGAAATATGTCCATTCACTACCTTCTAAATCATTAAAAAACAAACAAACAAAAATCAATACAAAAGAAGGAAAGAAAGAAATAAGGAAAGAAAGAAAAGCCAAAACTCAGAGGCACTACAAAAACACATGCCCAAAATGCTGGCAGGAGTTGTTTACAAGAATTCCAATCTAGAAAATATCTTGCTTCATAAAAATGGCCCTATCTACACAGGTTAAATGCATGTGCAAAGCACTCTGAATATGAAATATACTAACTTTGAATGACACTGATCATCATAATGTACTTCTGCATAGGATGTGCAGCATCTTCTGGAAGAGCAGCTTAACAAGATTGATGCAATTATAAATTTCTGTGCAGTGGAACTCAGGTTATTTTGCATTACATTAATTTATTTTTTAATGTGTTTTCCTCTTTTGCTTCCTCTGCAGGCATAGTTATTGTAGTTATTTTCTGCATATTCTAATTATTTTCTGCAAATGGTTCATTATACCGTGCTTAATAACTCAGAGGACCTGGCAATTTTAGTAACAAATATTTTTAATTCTTAAGCATGACATAAATGAATACATGCACTCCTCAATATATGCATTCCTTCAAATAAGTCAAAATGCAAAGTGCTGATCTGCACTTGAATGTATTTTTGCTTCCTCTCTCCCATTGTGCCTTTTCTCTCTACATAGTACAAAAGAAGAGGCAGAAACCACAGAGGTACAGCTAGATTTCAAATAACCATGTTTACAAGTTGCACACAAATATACACACCAAGGTTCATGAATGTACTGCTGTTCTGGCTGGCTTCTGGTAGTTACTGCAAGAAAGCATGGCTCCCAAACTACTTGAAAGACCCACAAACTCTTTTAGTACTACTGGAGCCCAACTGCTTTTCTTTTTAAGAAACAGCACTGTTCGTGTACAAGGCAAACAGTTTTGAGAGTCTAATCTATTTCATTAATAGCTGGCTGGGAAGCAATTAATGGTATGCCTACCATAGGCATCAAAAGTTCAGGGAACATCCATGTAAATCCTTCCCAAGCATCTTCACTCCTCCCCAAAATATTGGTACTTTGGACCTGTGTAAATCCCCTAGGCTAGCACTGAGCAGCAACATTTATTGAGACCTTTCTGGAGGTAAATGTCACAACTGCAGCCTAGCCTGTACTTTTTACTACTTTTCAAAGAAAAGATGTTCAGTTCTTACAAAAACCTGTAACACTTGGTATCTTCTGCTTCCTGTAACGAGGTATGAGCCCTACCAGTTCCAAAGATCAATTTTCACCAGAGTGTGGGTAGTTAGGGTCTGGCGGCCGGAAGATGTCGCACTGTACGGAAAGGTGAAGCCCCTCCCTTGATGGGACAGTAGCGTGTGGTCTGTGATGTAAGCAAGCGGAAGTGACGCTATGGGCCTCGGGTATATAACACCATGTGACTCGACAATAAACGCCATTTGCCATCCACCACATTGGTGTCTGTGAGCCGATGGACCAAGCGGCCTGGGGTTGGTTGCCGTGCCATTCCTGAACCAGGTCGCCACTGCCCCCTGAAGGCAACACCAGAGTAAAGAAAAAAGTATGAAAAACAGTAACATTTCACTTGTTTATCACTTTTAATCTACAAGATGCACCTACACACATAGACCCCTCTAACATGTTCTCCAGTAAAGTAAAATTAGTATAACAAAGGTAGGAAGTGAGTAGAGAACTGAAGCATGGGAATGGGCTTACTAGCAACTGAGGAAACAGCCACTGCAGTTAAGAAACCACTACCAGCATGGAGCAGTCACAAGCCTGAAATACAGGTATGAAAGAAATGTCCTGTCAAGCAGGATACCGCTAATCTGTGCCCCTGTCTGATGTATCTAACAGAAATGCTCCTGCCTTGCTCTTCGCAGAAGCAGATGATGCACCCTGAAAGTATTCATGTATAACAAAGCCTCGTGCCTTTGAACCCTGGAACTTTCAGTGGTTTCAGTAGTTTCTTTATCTTGTGTTCCCCTTCACTGTCTCAAACTGAGCTATTGAGGCTGGCAGTGCAGTGTGTCCTAGCCACTTGCTGGCTCTCAGTAATTCCCAGCTATTGACATCAGGTCTGGGATTTCTTTGGATGACTACAAAGATTTAAGAATTTGTATATAGCACCACTAGCACTGAATGAGGATTCTGCTTCTGGATGTCACGTCTCAGAATTGTGTTGCCCCAGCGTGCAGGGAGTTTACATCATTAAAATTGCATGCCTGAAAAAGTTAATACATCCTCCTGGATAAAGAACTAGGCAGGAATTCTCTTTTTTTTTTCAGGTTCCAGAGGAAGGGAAGTGGAGTGTGATTAATCAAAATGTGACAATTAAGCAAAATGGAAACTTTTCCTAAAAACATATTAATTTTGACAAACTGTGTTAATAAAGGAACACCTGACCAAAATTGCATCAGGGACTACGAAGCAAGAAGGCTTGCAAGGCTCCAGAGTTCTCAGCTTTTAAACCCATAGCTCCCACCTTTCATATGAATATTTTTCTCAAAGTCCAGACTACTCTAGCTCCTTACTCCTAATTTTTCAAATGAAACTTCCCTACTATTAAGAACATGTTGAAAAAGCTTTGTTGAAGAAGAAAAAAAGTTCTATATAGAAAGTACTAAGAATCTGGGATTTTTCTCAGTGCATATTACAAATGGTTGCTGTTTAGAATGAACCTGATATCACATAATATTCATATTTCTCAAAGGAAGTAGAAAGTTAACTGCCTAAAGGGGAAAATCCCCAAAACACTTTTTTTTTATTATTGTCAATTCTAGATGATAATTTTTAGCTTCACTTTCTTTATCCCATATGGAACAAAGCTTCTGATTTCTTGCAGTTTTCCCCAGTCTTTTAATGCTTTTTCAACTATTTTTAGCAAAAACATATCACATCTAACTATTCAAGCTAATGGCATCTTCTTCTTCCAAATGTGCCTCTGTGAAGACACTGGTGTCCAGAGACAAATACCTTTAACTCAAATGCCTTCAAAAATACAGTGGGAGAGAGGGAGAATGTTAAGATTTTAATCCTTTTTGATGTTAATTCCATGCAATCAGTACAATCCTATCTGTTCTGTTTAAGGTAGTTTACTGTGCTGTCATCAGAAAGTTTGCCATTCTATTATAATTCTTTGTTTCTTTAAAGCTGGTTCAAGTTATTTAATATCACACTTACTACATCTCTTCCTTAACTGGCAAAAAGAGTATACTTATGGAAATAAATAAATAAATTAACCCTTTCCCCTTTTTGGCAACATCACAAGATGTTCCAAAAAGCTACTTGTGCTGCAAAAACACAATGTCATTTTACAAGCCTCTTTGTACCTTCACATACCATTTCACCTACCTCATTTCTACCAGCTGATGCCCTGGTGATTTTGCAGATGGCTATGTGGGCAGATGGACTGGAAGTTCATACAATAAACATGCAGCAAAGGAAAATCCATGGTTTTGCACGGCTTCAATTACCAGGATCTGTAGAGATGTCAAAGACATGCTATTCCCCATTTGGCAATATGCTTTGATTGCTAATTAATGCAAACAGCTTGTTGTCTACAGTGATACACAATTACTTCTCAGTGACCAAATGGCTTACAACAATTTCAACAAGCAGTTCAGGAGCCAAAAGCATTCCATAACTAAAATGCTAACACTAAGCTTGTGTATTTTTATTTAAAGATGTAATATTACAGCCATCTGGAAAACTGTTTATTTAATAACATCCAGCAACATGGTACTTGACACCTGCTAACTGGCAAGTTAACAGCAAAACAGGTAACCAAAGGTATGAGTAGGTCCAACATTCAGGGCTAGGGAGGAAGAAAGAGACAATGACTGACATAATGGCTTCTTTTTTGGATGACTTATTTTTAACAAAAAAAAAAAAAAAAAAAAAAAAGGAAGGAAGGAAGGAAGGAAGGGAGGAAGGAGAGAGAGAGAGAAGAAAGAAAGGGGGTGAGAGAAAGACAGAATAAGAGTCCAATAAGAGTCCAATTTCTGTGGAAAATAATAGTGTGGGGTGGGAAATCAAGCACTAGAAAGGTATTTTACTAAAAAAAAAAAAAAAAAAAAAAAAGAAAGAAACAAACAAATCTCTTCTTCCATCTTTCTTATCTTTCTTTGAGAAAACAGACGAGGGGTTAGAGCTACCAAAATGAAAACTTGACAAGAAACTAAAGCATGGATTTACTACAAGCTCTGCAGACCTACCAGTGATGCCATTCTGTGAGAACATGGGTTCTTCTTCCTCCCCAGCACACATCAAACTACAGAGACATTCAAACAAGCTTAATAATTTAGGGCTGCTCCATGAGGTAGTACATGAATGCTAATTAACTTTCTAGATACTTTTCCCTTGAGGCCAAGCATTTTCTGAAATGGCCTCCTTGTAGTAAACAACTGAAAACCATCCTTCCAAGTGCATGATTCATGTTCTGTGCTCACAGCCCTAATGGTGTTCTCACACAGAAATCTTTTTACAGAATGAGGTGGCCAGAAAAAATTATATGGCACAAAACAGAGTGTGAACTGGGATTTCCATTTGATGAAAACATATTTAGGATCTAATGTACAGTGCATCTGTACGGAAATTATGCCAACAACCAAGGTAGATGAAAGAAACGCAGCTAGGATTTTAGGTTACATTTGCTAGAAGGGTTTAAGTCTTTAGAGAACACACCAACAAACAGCTTCTCTTTGCATTGCTATCATGTCACATTTAGTCTTTAAACACTAAAAAGAAACTTCATAAACTGCAAATAAAAGTAAACAGGCCAACATTACTGTATTTAGACTTGTCTCAACACCAACACTCTCCACTAAAGAAAAGCATTCCTGAACTACTCCAGGTTTGGGAATACATTTTGTCTTGAAGTCTAACACTTTCTCTAGAGCCAATGTAAGAACAGACCAGGAGGGTTATTTTACTACCACAGCATCTATCTTCTGATTCGGGACGGATGATGGCATGGTGGGATACTTCAAGGTGAGTTTGATCTCCACTAATATTTGGCATTACAGAATCAGTAGAGTTGTAGAAGATGACTTGCATTTTCCTTGAAAAGTAAAACCAGGGGACTAAACATTGATGGAGACTCTAAGAATTTCCTCTCCACTTCAGCTAAGCTTCATTTCTAAGGCTTCAGTCCAACAGCCCAGCCAGAGCAGTATGCATTACTTCAAACGACACGGAACACAAACAGCTTGTAAAGATTTAGATGGTGTTTTTCTTAATTAATTAATTAATTAATGAGATCTTTTTCTACCTCAAACTCTACTATATTTTTTCAATTACAGATTTCCCCTGTAATATATTGAAACAATGCTGCATATTTTTAGACTTGCAGTTCTGAACACAGAATGGGAAAATTGATAGTTGAAAAACAAAGTATCCATTTGGATGTATTTACTTTGAATATTAACGTCATACTAGAAGATGTTTAGAAGTTCAGACTAGACAAAAATGCTGGAAGCCCTTATCCTTTCCATAGATCACCTTACAACTGCACATTAACAGTAATTGCCATGGCTGTCATGCTGTTTTAGTTTTGCATTAAGGCTGGGATTCATACATACCTTCTGCTTCCAAGACCACTGCCCGTCATAGTGACATAAAATATCTGCAAGACATATAAGCACTGATTTGCGTGGCTCAGCCATGTACACAACTGTATTACATACACAGATGTAGTTTTAAAATACTGCTCAAACAACCATCATGCAGGGAGAAAATGCAACATTGCATCCTACAAAGGAAACAATCTGCTTAATGTAATTCTAATCCTCCTTACCTGCTTCCTTCTACTGCCATAAATGCTTTCTCTATTTCCTGTTAATAGACCCCCATCACTTTTTACCTGTTACTGATGCCTTCATCAGTACCTCCCTGCTACTTCAAGTACCACATTTCCAGTTACCTTGTCAGTAGAGCTGAGCCTTTTTCTAGTCTACCCACCACCCTTTTGTTAAAAGCATTATTCCCTCCCTTGCTGTCTCATTTAAACATCTAAACTGACAGTCTTTTAGGTGCTCTGGTGGCAGCTTCTTAAGAGATTGAGGCCTTTTGTGTGTCAGCCCCTGACACACACAATCTACATGTAGCAGAGAAGTGACAGACAAAAAATCTCTTAAAAATCAGAGAGAGAGCAAGAGAGAAATTTGCAGAAAATAAAACTGTTCTGAAAACATGGCTCTTCTCTGGAAGTGGGGTTGCTGGCTCTCTTGAGGTAATATAGATATTTGGATTGCCCATAGAATCAGCTTATAAACAATCCGAAGGACCACAGATCTAAAGCAAGCATAAAGGAGTTTTAACCTTAAATGTTCTTGTTTCTGAAGGCATTTACACTGTGAAGGGTGTTCCCTGTAATTTCCTTGTGCTACTAGAGCTGCATCAACAGGTGGCAGAAAGGAAAACAGAAATGTCACTCAAATTATCATAAACTGGAAGAGAGAGAAAAATCTTTGGATGCCATGACAAGTCCAGTGAACTGTTATGCAAAGATTCTTTTTGAGGAGTATGAGATTGATCTTTTACTTGTTTGGTAACAAAGAACTCAAGCAGCTCATACACATTACCTGCTTCTGCAGGTAACAGACACTAAGAACAGATACAGGCGTTACTGAAGGAACTTTTACTTTATTAAGTTCCTAGTATCAACAGTACATAATGAAATAAACCAGTCAGAAGAAGAATGATGATGCCAACAACTCCATAAGAGCTATTCTTGTCAATGGTAAGCAATTTGTGACCTTGCCTGATTTACGGCCGTTGCTATTATTCCCTTTTAAGATCATACTAATATGACAGTTATGATCTTTCCATGTATTATCAGAAATTATTTTTAGCTATTTCTTTTAATAAATACGATCACTCAGATAAAGGAATTAAGAAATATATTAATAATATTAATTAAGAATTATTACTGAGTTAAATGTATTTTTTTATCTAACTCACCATTCTAGACAAAGCTCAGATGTTAGAAATAATAGATGATATTCATACAGCTTCATTGCTGTTACAGGTGTCAAAGGAGGCAGCATTTCCCTGTACAAGAAAAAAACAGCACTAATTACAATAAAATATTATCTAAAAAGATAAATTAAAAAAAAAAAAATCTAAAATAACTAGAAGTCCCAAGCTCAGCATACTTACAACTCAGAATATTAAGAGTATTGGAAATTTTCTGAAAAAGTATCCATAGCACATAATTCAAATATGTTTTGGAGCTTGAAGTGGAACTTAGTCTAGCATTCACTATTAAGAAGTAGATACTTACGACATTGATCATGGAGAAAAGCCTGTCATAGTCACTAAGATATAAAAAGAAATAAATAATGCATTTGTTGTTGATCAACAAATTCCCTGGCTTTTTTTTTTCCTTCCTTCTCTTCCCTCTGCTTGGCAGAAATGGGAATCAACAGGGAGAGAGAACAGAAAAGCACTCTGCTTTCTCCCCTTCCTCTCTATTTGTTAATCTCTCTCCCCTGCAGCATTCTTTTCTCATACACGTTTTCTGTCATAGGCATTTCTTTCCTACTTTTGAAAATTCATATTGAGAGCTCTTTTCTCATCTAAATTACTTTGTCTTCTTCTTGAATCATTGTAAGGTTCACTCTCACAAATATCTTCCGTAAGTCTAGCATTTATCTTGTTGACTGAATTTTCTCTATCACGCAGCAGGCTAGCTATGACTTGGCTGCCATCACTGAAATGTGGTGGGACCACTCCCATGACTGGAGTGCTGCAATGACTGGCTCTTCAGAAGGGACAGGCAGCACAGAAGGGGTGGTGGTGTGGTTCTCTATATTAACATGTTTTGAACTCGAGGCTGAGACTGGGAATGATAAGGTTGAGTCCCTATGGGTTAGGATCAGCAGGACGGCCAACAACGCAAGCATCCCGGTGGGGGTCTGTTACAGACTGCCAAACCAGGATGAGGAGACAGATGAGGAATTCTACAGGCAGATGGAAAAAGTTGCAAAATTGTCAGCTCTTGTCCTCTTGGGGGACTTCAACTTCCCAGATATATCCTGGAAATGCAGTACACCTCAGAGGAAACAGTCTAGGTGATTTCTGAAGAGTGTGGAAGATAGTATCCTGATGCAGCTGGTTAGTGAGCCTACCAGGAGAGGTGTCCCGCTGGACCTTCTGTTCACAAACAGAGAAGGACTGGTGGGAGGTGTGGTGGTCGGGAGCTGTCTTGGGCAGAGTGACCATGAAATGGTAGTGTTCTTTATTCTTGGCAAAGTCAGGAGGGGGACTAGTAAAACTGCTGGCTTGGACTTCTGGAGGGCAGACTTAGAACTGTTCAGGACACTGGTTGGCAGAGTCCCTTGGGAGGCAGTTCTGAAGGGCAGAGGAATCCAGGAAGGCTGGGCACTCTTCAAGAAGGAAATCTCAATGGCGCAGGAGCAATCTGTCCCCACGTGCCCAAAGATGAGCCAGCATGGAAGAAGACTGGCCTGGCTGAATTGTGGCTAGAGCTTATGAAAAAAAAAAAAAAAAAAAAAGGGTTTATGATCTTTGGAAAAGAGGACAGGCCATTCAGAAGGATTATATGGATGTTGTAAGGATGTGTAGGGAAAAAATTAGAAAGGCTCATCTGGAGCTCAATCCGGCTACTACTGTTAAAGACAACATGTTTTTATAAATACAGTAACACTAAAAGAAGGACTAAGGAGAATCTCCATCCTTTACTGGATGCAGGGGGAAACTTAGTGATGAGAGATGAGGAAAAGGCGGAGGTGCTTAATGTCTTCTTTGCCTCAGCCTTTAGCGGCAATACTGGTTGTTCTCTGGATACCCAGCACCCTGAGCTGGTGGAAGGAGAGGGGAGCAGAATGAGGCCCTCACAATCTATGAGGAAATGGTTGGTGACCTGTTATAGCACTTAGATGTATGCAAGCCGATGGGGCCAGATGGGATTCACCCGAGGGTACTGAGAGAACTGGCGGAGGAGCTGGCCAAGCCACTTTGCATATTTATCAACAGTCCTGGCTATTGGGGGAGGTCCCAGTTGACTGGCAGCTGGAAAATGTGACACCCATCTACAAGAAGAACCAGAAGGTAAACCCAGGAAACTATAGGCCTGTTAGTTTGACCTCAGTGTCAGGGAAGCTCATGGAGTGGCACGTGAAAGGCAACCAGGTGATCAGGTCCAGTCAGCATGGGTTTATGCTAAAGGCAGGTCCTGCTTGACAAATCTTATCTCCTTCTATGACAAAGTGGTGTGCTTCATGGATGAGGGAAAGGCTGTGGATGTGGTCTACCTTGACTTCAGTAAGGTTTTTGACACTGTTTCTCACAGCATTCTCCTCAAGAAACTGGCTGCTAATAGCTTGGACTGGTGTACACTTTGTTGGTTTAGAAACAAAGGGTAGCCAGGCCCAAGGAGTTGTGGTGAATGGGGTTAAATCCAGTTGGAGGCTGGTCACTAGTGGCATCCCTCAGGGTTCAATACTAGGCCCAGTCATCTTTAACATCTTTATTGATGATCTGGATGAGGGGATCGAGTGCACCCTCAGTAAGTTTGCAGATGACACCAAGTTGGGTGCATGTGTTCATCTGCTCAAGGGTAGGAAAGCTTTGCAGGAGGATCTGGATAGGCTGGACCGATGGGCTGAGGCTGACTGTATGAAGTTCAACAAGGCCAAGTGCCGGGTCCTGCACCTGGGGCACAACAACCCCAAACAGCGCTACAGGCTGGGAGATGAGTGGTTAGAAAGCTGCCTGACAGAGAAGGACCTGGGAGTATTGGTTGATAGTCGGCTGAATATGAGCCAACTGTGTCCTCAGGTGGCCAAGAAGGCCAACAGCATCCTGGCTTGTATAACAAGCAGTGTGGCTAGCAGGGCTACGAAAGTGATTGTTCCCCTGTACTCGGCTCTTGTGAAGCTGCACCTTGATTACTGTGTTCAGTTTTGGGCCCCTTGCTACAAAAAGGACATGGAGGTGCTTGAGAGAGTCCAGAGAAGGGCAACGAAGCTGGTGAGGGGTTTGGAGAACAAGTCTCACGAGGAGCAGCTGAGGGAGCTGGGCTTGTTCAGCCTGGAGAAGAGGAGGCTCAGGGGTGACCTTATTGCTCTCTACAGGTACCTTTAAAGGAGGCTGTAGTGAGGTGGGGGTTGGTCTGTTCTCCCACGTGCCTGGTGACAGGACAAGGGGGAATGGGCTTAAGTTGTGCCACGGGAGGTTTAGGATGGATATTAGGAGGAACTTGTTTACGAAAAGGGCTGTTAGGCATTGGAATAGGCTGCCCAGGGAAGTGGTTGAATCACTATCCCTGTAGGTCTTTAAAAGATGTTTACATGTAGAGCTTAGAGATATGGTTTAGTGGAGGACCTGTTAGTGTTAGAATCACAGAATTGTCTAGGTTGGAAGAGACCTCAAGATCATCAAGTCCAGCCTCTGACCTAACACTTGGTCAGAGGTTGGATTAGATGATCTTGGAGGTCTCTTCCAACCTAGACGATTCTGTGATTCAATATGATTATTACTATTATTTTTTTATCTATAAAGATTCAGTTCCTTATTTCTCTTATTTATAAATGGAACCCTTACTGAACCCAAAATTTATCTCAATACTACATTATACCATGGATTTGCTCTTTCTATAATTCATAATAAACATCAAAATTTCACATCAACTAAAAACTGTAGATCATACTGTCAACTTTTGTTTATATAAATATGTATACATTCATAGTTTAGCATTTATATCTGCAGCTTTGCTTTTTCCAAAAGTGATTCAGAACTAAGAATCACTAAAGATTAAAATCAACATCTTAGATATTCCAGCTCCAAATGCCTTAATTTTCCTGGTCTCTCAAAACATTATTTTTAATGAAAATTTCTATACCTATATACAAAAAGTTGTTGATATCTGTGAATGCCAACTTCTATGTAAGTTTGCTGTAGACCTTAACAGCCTACAGCCCATTTTATGAAACTTCAGGTTTTAAGTATTCTATTTGTCTTGCCATTGTACTAAATTCTCTTCCAGTTTGAGCATTCTGCCCTGCCTCTCCAAGGAAAACTCCAACATGCCCAAAAACTGCAGAAATCAACTAGTTTTTTTCACAGATACATGAAAAAGAAGTGAAGTGGACCTCTTAAGTGTGCGCTACTGGCAATTTGAAGGGATTTTTCACTCTCAGGAAACACTCAACTTTTTGAACTATGAACCACGGTAGTATTATCCTAATAATTTTAATAAGCACTCTAATTTTTTTCAATACAGACTTTTCCTTGAAATACTTCCATTTCATAAGTCTTTTAATTTCTTCTCATATATTTTGATACCACTGCTTCCTACTGAGCTAGAAATTTCTTGTTATTCACATATAGGCTGGGTGAAAATATTTAAAATCTATTAAGAGATAAAAATAATTGCATAATAGGCATTAAATAGGTTATTCAATCATTATCATTCAACCACTTCTATGATTCTTTACCTTATTACAACTTATTCTGTTTCAGAAAAAAAGAATCAATTCTTTCATGAAACAATAATCAAGAAAGCCTGCAAATCTGTATTGAACAAACTGGTCTTTTTATCTACCTTTCCATAAAATGAAATTATTTAAATGATTGGATACAAGTGATCACTGAAAGCATTCCATAGTTTCTTTAAGTCTGTAATCATCCATGTAATGGGTTTAGGAAGTTTAGATTGATGGCTTTTTTAAAAAAGGGGATTAAATCCCTTATTGTTGTATACATTAAAAGACAGCACTTAAATTCCAGTATACTGCACATATCATCAAAGAAGTTAACACCAGACATTCTTCAGCTAAAAGACATTGTATTCTTGTTTTCAACTATTACTGAAAATTCTGATATATTCTACAATGATATGAAATGGGGCAGTCAGAATTTAAAGACTACCAGTAAAACTAAAGTATTCGAAGAAGTCTTGAATTATTTTTCAGACAGTTAGGCTACTAGAAACAGGACTAAAGTTCTATCCATAGTCAAAAGCCAAGAACTGTATTATGCAACACCTTAGTCATCTGTAACATGTATTGTGCTGAGCCATTCATCCAAGAATATCTTCTGCCTACTTTAGGTGCAAGAATTAATTTAACCTCTGCACTAGCTCATTTCTCCCATGATTGCTAGCCTTACTAAAAAAAAATTAAAAAATAAAATAAAATAAATTAACTTTATGATGAGAATAAATGTGCATTAGGGAGAATATAAACCCACTTCCACCTTAAGGCTGATATACAACACTAAAGGAATAGAGTTTTTCAATTTTGAAATTGCATCCTAAGTTGAAGCATCTTACTTACCATTAAAAGGTAACATATAAGTATTGTAGGTTCAGCAGCAGACATTTAAATACCTTACTGACAACCTTTTATTCCCTTAATAGACTTTTTCATTGTAATGGCCAAAATCATTATGAAGGAATACACTCTGGGAGTCAACGGGTGTTATTCAGTATCCTTCAGTAGCCTTGTCTAATACTTTATCTCTCCACAAATCCTCTTTTGAGAATATAATTCTTTATTCATTTGGTGAGAACAAATCAGTCTCTTCCACAAAAGCCATAGTACAGATACACATTAGAACTTCAGATACAGTACAGTACAGATACAGTTAGAACTTCAAAATGCTTTCCAAGCAAATGCATGCTTGCACAGGACAGTATCTTCACAGTACTGAAAAGAGGAAACAATGTGGGTCAAACATTTACAGGTTTGTGCCATTATGCATTACTATCAATAAAACATCCTGACTAAGCCAAGTTGACTTGGCAATATCCAGTTGTTTTTGTATTTAGTTACAGACACTAGTATTATTATTAACAAGTGCATGGCTATGACTACACCGCAAGGGAATACTGTTGACTGTGTAAGGGACATCAGAAATTAAATTCTTTATAGGATTGAATAAAACTCTCTATGCACTTTGAAGCCTCATTCTGAAATCACATGAAGTGAGATAGATCTCATACTTGGTGATAAATTTGAGGGGAGCTTGAAATAACAGTTTTGGATCTCTATACATAGAAGCAGGGGAAAAATTTGACTTCAAATAAGTTTAAGTATTTTTCTAACCCCAGAGACTTCAGGGCTGAACAAGTATAGAATTCCTTCCCATGTCCATGTCCAGCATGTATGTGCTGAACAGCTTTTGACTCAAGAACAAAAGACTACTTCAGTATCTGGCAAACCAGCACTGCATTCAGGTGAACAGAATAACTAAAGTAAATGAATGAAATCTGAGATGCAGATCTATTCTCTATTTGTTGAAGCTAAAAGCAACTTAGTTTCAAGTCACTTGATGAGATTTGTTCATGTAGTGATTACATCGCAGCTAAACAGAAATAACAAATACAACAAACCAAATTGAAGTCACCATCATAACCAGGTCAACAGAGAACAGTTAAGCAGCCCAAATGCCACAGAAATTACCATGTGAAACAATGTTAAGGGAATGATGAATTTAAATGTCAGGAGGTATTTTTTCTGCAAAGAAGTAAACAAAAGTTCAAAATTAATACCCCCATGATTTTCTGATTCACATTATTCAATGCAAGATAATTTACTCTCATGTTAGGCGAAAATTAAATGGACTTTTCTGATTTTTTCCATAAACTGTAATTCTTTCAATTTCAGAGATACTGGAATTATCTTATTTTGAGTTTTCTGCTGTTTGTGATTTCCATCCCACTAGCAAAGAACATTGCTGGATTGTTTGGTTCTATAGTAAACCTTGAGAAAACCATGCAGATTTCTGGCAGAAAGTAATCTGCATTGAGACAGAAGTTCAACATCTCTGATAAATTTTCACAAAATTGTTTTACTCTGATGAATCAGTGTTTACTAATAAAGTATGTTTTATCCTAAAACTCAAAATCAGGAAGGGACCAAACATTTGACATACTCCCTTTATATACAAAAGGATGTATGTTTTAAAACAGAAAATTGCCTTACAATAAAGTCTTCATAATTTGTTTATAATTACCATGGATTCTAACATTCCATCTCCATAGCATACAGTTTTCCATACATTGCACAATATAATGCTAGTGCTCACAAAAGAACATTCAGATTCACCTTTCAATTTTCTCCATTTTTTCTTTCTTGTCTCCCTAGCTTTCTGATGTTTCTCTTAACTAATTTGCTGGAAAAGTAACTTTCTGCTTGCTATTAGTCAGCATACACAAACACTCTCTAAATTACTAATTCGCAATACTCAACACAGACTTGTACTGTCACCTTATATTCCAAAAGATAAGGTGTGGTGGGAATAATTCACTAGACATTAAAATCATCTCCATGAGTAGAGGACATTCACAATTTCAGACATGTACTAAGTTCCTTTACATTTTTCAAAGTGTCCCAGGTGTTCCCTCTAACAAGGACTATATAGAATTTAAAACATCAGAGACGCTGAATTCCTGGGTCTGCAGTGATATTTTCTAAAGCTACAGACATTAGCATAAAAAGCCACATGGAGGGAAAACAGAATCATCAGAGTTGAGGTTAAAAATAAGAAGCAAAATTTTCACAAGAAGATAATTAGACATTAGTCTACCTCACCCAGGGATGAGATGAGTTTATTTTAAGATTTAACTTAGACCTTCTCTAATAGGTATGTTCTAGTCAAACCATTGAGACAGCTGCAAGCACCACTGGGTGAAATCTCCCTACAGGTTGCTGAAGAATGATGGACTAGCTGATGACGGAGGAGTCCCGTGATCTTAAATGTTTGGAATTCACATTATTGTTGCAAATAAAATCACAGAATATAGTGCTATTTGGTTCAGTGTGCAACTCCTCTGTAAAGCAAACATGAATTTCTCATCTCCAAGTCTACTTTTTTATTTTATGATAAGAAATATAACATTACATTTCAACATAACCAGGTAACATGAGTAAGTGTTGCATCACATTCCTTCCAGTGCTTTGGTGTGTCCAAAAAGTAATAAGCCAAAGGCATTTTAGAGCTACTGAAAAAGTATAAATCTTCTCTGCCACTGTAGGAATTCTCCACACAGTATGAATAAAGCTGTAGTTCAATTAAATCAATAGAATTATTACTACTGATCTCATTAGATCCATGAATATGTGTTTGACAAAGACAAATAAAAACAACACAAAAACAACCACAACAATATCAAAGAAAAAATCTTTGAAAATATAATCTGGGGCACGTTCACGCCATGCTAAACAAAAGCAACTTCTTCTGATTTAAAATAAAATTCAGTTGTCTATCATTTAATTGTAAAACCTGATACAAGCACTCTTTAGCTTACATGCTTTCAGACTGCTAATACAAACCTACTGTCAACTTGGAACTGCAATGGTTAGTTCGTGTCTGTGTAGTTAGTCAGTTAGTCAGTGTCTGTGTCTTTGGAAACAATTGTATTTTCATTGTGTCATGACCAGTAAGATGAGTCACATTCATAGAACCAACAGAGTTTACACCACCACACTACACAACAAACAAAACAAAACAAAACAATTGGTGGTCCAACAGTTTGAAACAGGACCTTGGAGCTGGGGAGGTTATTCTCCTTTCAGACTGTAGAAAACATTATGAGTTCAATAGATTTTTTTTTTTTTTTTTTTTGCAAGTTCCTTGGCCTTACAGTACTGCTGCGCCAATACAGACCTGTCCTGATGACTCTTCTACTTTGATTTAAATTAATGTGGAATAGTTGGCAATGCACACAAAACCAAAAAGAAGTGGCACTATATAATTTAAACCAAAAATACCAATAATATTAAGAGCTATGTGTGGCTCCATCACTGCCTCCCGTTATAGCACTTGAGATGCATAGCACAAAAACTATGTGAGATCTCAGGGACAGCGTAGTGCACAATGCAAGTAAGAATGGAGGGACCACTCCACTGCTACATACCAGTTAAACTTAGACACTTACTACATAATTTTGGAAAACATGTAATGTTTAATAATAAACCCCAACTTTCATTAAGGGGATTATTGTATTTTCTATCTCTGCATCTACTGCTTAGCATCAGCAAGGGAAATAAAATTAGCATTATGAGAAGATTGCCTCTCTTTAGTTGCACTGGTAATTAAGTATGAAAGAAAAAAAAAAAAGAGTATATTAATTTTTTAGAGTTATTTTTAATAAGTTTTCCTGATTGGCTACCATCAGTTCTCTCACTAGTGATGTTTTGACATGCCAGAAAGTGACAGCAGATGCAAGGAAATACAGACAGGAACCAGAATTCTCCTTTCCTATATTAACATCTTGGAAAAGAACAGATGTTCCCATAGAGCCATCTGCATCTCACCTTTCTAAAACTCCTCAATACCCTGTAGCTTTAAGGCCTTTGAAAGATATGTGATTCTGTGGACATCACAAGAAATCTTCTCTTACAAGGATTCTCACTGAATGGTTGCACTCATGCAAGTGCCACTTTGCAGCTATAAGGACTGCTAGAAAAGACTCATAGAAGCATTTCTAAATTTTCAAGAGGTTATCAAACAGAAAAACAAACAAACAAACAAAAACCATTAGAGGGTAGGTGATAGGTGTAGAGCAGACAACATTTCATTGAGAAGTTACTGACCCAAAGAGCAGGAAAGACTTCTTAAATGGTTTTATTTTATTGTTCTTATTTCCTCAAAAACAAAACAGAACACACAAAGAACAGGCATTAACCATCTAGACCAAGTAGAAAAAATGTGAACATTACAACATTTTTAAAATGCAGACAAAAATACAGGAGCTTCTAGGGCAATACATCTGAACTCTCTCCATAAATGGACAGTGAATCTTTCATAGGACTTGAATTATTATTTACTTTGTGCAAAATCCGCCTTGCTGCTGGGACAATCACTAGCCTTTTAAGCACAGCAGCATGGCTGAAATTTGTGAAAATCTCTTAAAGAACAAAGGAAAATATGGAACTGAGAAGTTCTGATTTGGGGAGAATTCCTTTAAGAGCAGTAGCTTACCTTTACATAGTGATAGAAGTACTGAATAATAACAAAATTTTAAACGACTTCCTATTAACTCCTGAATGCAGTATAGATCAGATTCACTCTTCCTAGCATGGCATAATGCAAAAAAGTACCTGCAAGAGGGAATTCATCACACTGAAAAATAACACTGCCATCTGTGCTCCCTCAGGGCTTCAGCTTTCATTTGATGCCAGAGGCCCCATGACAGCCTTGCTGGCAGAGGTTGTCTAGTGGAGGTGATGAATGAATACATTTCCCAGCTTCCCGTGCTAAACTCTGTCTGCAGCCCCCAGATGGGTGTATCTCCAGGTTGTGCCAGCTGCTGCTGACTGCTATGTCCACCTCCAGCTGAGACTACACCTTCCAGCAGCTCTCCTACTTGGTTCACCCAGCTGGTACTTCACATCCTACATTTCCCTCTGCTACTTAACTCTACAGCAGAGGTGATATTAACAGACTACAGAGACTCATCCAATGTTTCTCCAGAGATTGCAACCCATAATTCACCAGTCCTTGATATAAACCAACAGCAGTACATGAGTCAAATCATAACCTAATTCATGTGTTCCATATAATAAATGTGCCAGGCACAAAGGTGGTAGCCAGTAGCTCATAGATTTGAATACCAGCTTTGATGTCTTGGAACTTCCAGAGGTTTTGGAAGTGGCTTCCAAGTGAGTACCCATGGAAGCTGGATACCTATGTTTAGACATATAAAAAATCCTATTTAATTCTCTGTAATAAAGGACTTCTGCAGAAAGCTAGAGGCCAAAAGTCAAGGCCAAAAGCACAAGTGAATGCCAGAAGTTTGCAGAGTTTGGCATGAAAATCCATGTGCCACAGTCCTCGCCTTATTCTTTCTTCCTCAGTTTCCCTGTCTATAAAATACAGATCCTGAATGAAGCTTGTAGTACCACTATTTATTTTTTTTCTTTTTTTTTTTTTTTTTAAACAGGGAATATTTTCCTATTATCCACATATCCACATCAAAAGTTAGTATTATTGGTTTTGCCATTAGCTCCCAGGCTGATTTAACTGCAGCATTGAACACTTCACCTTGGACTCTCAGATCAGATCTCTACATTTAAACATTCATTTTCCACCTCTGGTGACTGAACGAGTAGACTGATTTCAGCATAGAAGGTTGCCAGTCCTTAGACAGGTTGCAGGACCAGCTCACATACCCACTGAGTATTGTTTGGACAAGCAAATAAAATAGCATTATTTCACATTCATATTGTGTTTAGTTTAGTAAAGCCTAAATGCAGTCTTCCTCTTTAAACCATAACTCTATTTCCGTATTAAAGTTAACACTTCAGAAACAGTGTTCTCATCCAGTATGAACACTTCATAATTACACTTTTCTAAAAACCTATAATAAACTTTATTTAAGCAAGTGCTTCCCATTTTATTGCCAACCCCAAACATTGTTCATTTGCAAGCACAAAGTGTCCTCTTGACACGATAATGAAAGTGCATTCATACATGTCAGCTGGAGCAATTATGTACTTCAGATGAATAGGCAACAAGTATTATTCAGTCTTTTCTGCTGACATTTCTCAAACATGACATGCATATTAAAATTAGCATTTAAGGTGTGAAGAGTTCACTAACTGCAAATTCCCAAAGCTCTCAGAATTTGGACAAGAAAGAGAACACGCAAAGTGTGTTTGTGTTTTTCTTTTTAAACAGGGCATCTCTTTTATAACCTATTCAGACATCTGCTTTTGCTCAGTTACCTCTCCAATACCGCATATAGGAAGAAACAAAGAAAGAATCAGAAAAGGACCCTGAGCCAGTATAAAGATATACCAGAGTGTCAAGTTGGTCTCAGTCTACTGGGCACACAATATGAATCTACTTTCCTTTCTATTGAGCAATCTGTATTTACTGAGCAACCAAACCTGATCTTCAGCAAAGTACATTGGGATTGTAGCCCCTGCAATGCAGGCTTGGATAGGAACTCCTGGATGTCTCTGGGGAGCATACTTCATCGCACTCCTTGGAGAACAGTTTGTTGGTATAATGCTGATCTACCAGAAGATCTAAGAAAGAAATAAATAAAATTACTTTGGAACTGGACTTTAAAGGACCCTTTTATTCCTTCCACTCCTGAGATGCTTCTGGGGATGAAACATATATATGAAACATCCCCAGAAGAGTCCCAGAAGGAAACTTTGAAATTTGGGTGGTTTGTTTCCTTTCAATTAGCTTTTCATTCCTTTTTTTTTTTTTTCCCTGTTTCACCAACCCTCAAGAAAAAAGTCAAAGTGAATGGAAAATGAGTGTTTCCTTGAACAACAGCAAAAAAAGAAAATAAAAAACAAATAAAATAAAATGAAATAAAATAATAAAATAAATAAAACCCAGCAAGTAGAACCCCAGCTGGAATGCTTTAGCTGGAACTTACAGATGCAGCATCTGTTGCCCCAGGACCCTGTTTTCCCACTTGGCAGTTGACTAATGGTACCTTTGACTTTCTCTTTCACAGATCTACTACAAGGATCACCCATCATCTACAAAGCACTAGGAAAACCTGAGGTGAGATGTATAGGAAAATTGCCGGTCTTCTATTCAGTGCACATTGTATGACATATGAGGTTGTGTTTGCTACCAAAATGTATTCTCACAGGACAGAACAGAAAAGCAGGCAGTAGATCTTAGAAATACTTATCTCTGCTTCATCTTCACCATCCTCTAGACCCAAACAAAACAAAGTAACCCAACAAATTTCAGTGTCTTGCTTACAATGTCTAGAATACCACTGTGAATTAAGAACTGGTTTATCTTCATTTCAAGAAGCAAAGAAACAGGGATTCATTTTGTAACAGGTCCTGATAACAAGTTCAACCATTATCCATTACAGACCTGCTACTGTACATGCATCTTCAAGAAGCATAAGACAGTCCAAATTTGTGGTACAGGGTTAGTAAAACATCTTATGGATATAGCAGTTGAGGCTCAAAAGCATTAGAAGAAACAAAAGCTTAAAATAATTCACACAGAACTGTGTTATGGCAAGAATAGCTGGTTGAATGAAAGCGAGGTAAGAAATCTGAGGTGACAAAGAAAAGATAATAAACCAGATACAAAAGTCATTACTCTGGTAAATCTACATATATACCAACAGAAGCACAAAGGATATATAAGCAGCCAGGCTTAGTCATAAACTACAGCCCTGCTCTACCACACAGACTGACTTCTGATACTTCCTGCACTGAAGTAATCCCATACACATGCAGCAGGTTTAATGCTTCCTAGACCCCCGTGGTTTTAGGACATGTGTGGAAACATCGTAGAGAAGCTGCTGCTCCTAAATCAACTCATGTGGTAGAGTCCTTCTGCCTGCCCTCTTTTTTTCTGAGGTAACTTGGGAGCAACCAGAAAGTGAACGCAAAGGTCCAGGTCAAAGAACATTTTTTTACCTCAAAGACAGCAAGCTTCAGTATTGACGTAACTTTTTCTTTCTGCTTCAGTTTTAAGTGGAACCAAACTTTGCAAATTGCCATTAGCATTGCAGGTTAAAATGCAAAAAAAAAAAAAAAAAAAAAAAAAAAAAAAGCTTAAAATTCAATGCTTTCTTTCCTCTATGGAAACTCCAGAGACACAAGCAATGGTTTATTGGAAATAAGTCATTAAGCCAAACATCTAAGGACAGAAATAATCTACAAAACTTCTGACTTTTTATGAGCTCATTTACAAGATTTGACTTTGGAACAATATTATAGACTTTTTAGTGTTGTCTACAATTACTGTCTTCATCAAAATCATTGTGAGAAGCAAAAGAATTAGAAAAAGCACAAGAAAGACACCCCCCCCCCAAACCACGAAATATAAACCACCACACACACCACCGCCCTGCGTAAAATAATTACGTATATGTCAGGGAATTGACCTTATCTTTCCAATTCTATAATATCCTAAGTTTTTCAAGTACAAATGGAAGGAAAAAAGTGATAGAGCAAATTGGAGGGATACAAAAAGAAATGTCACTGATTTCACAGTATAGATATTACAAGTCTGTAGGTCAGATATTATATATGAAATTTAGACTGATCCAATAGAAACTTCTTGATAGATGTTACACGAGGCACAACAGAGATGGGTAATTTATTTCCAGTATGTCCTACTTTGAAGAAAGGAGCTCTACTTGATCTTGAAGACAAATGATTGCACTGGTAGGTATAGAACTATTATAGCTTATTAGAAAAATGCTGGCTTAGGGTAGCAGAATTGGGGAAAGTATATATGGCTCAAGAGAATTTAAAATAAATAATAAAAAATATATCTTTAATATTTATATGTATTTGTATTTCATTTGAAAAATATTTTTAAAATTAAATTAGTAATAATAAAAAATACAAAGTGATACAAAACTGAGATACTTTGCCAGAAATAGGCCAAGACTAAAATATGTAACTATACATGTACTTAAAGTCACCAATGTAATACTGTAGAATATACTAGAATGAAGTATTATTTGTCTGAGCTACAAGGCCATTGGGTACCTACACTTTATGTGTGCCCACATGAAAAACAGATCACAGGTATCCACTAGCAGTGATTTGTTGTTGTCTTTCCACACCACACACTGCTGGATAGCAAAGTGTACCTATTACAACACATATATAAAAAAATAATGGCTCCCTGAGTGTATTTATTTACATCCACTGCAAATGAACTGTAGGTTTGTCACAACACTACCTGTACCTCACTATCACTGTACCTATTCTCAGCTATCAGCCAGAATAATTTTTTTAAGTTGTTAGAAACACACTCAGATCTGACTTAGCCACTGCATCATCCAAACACTCCATGGAAGAAAAGCTTTTAATGGAGTTTTACAAAAGACAAAAAGCAAGTACCAAAATAAATGAAAGCTCAGTCTGCATGTATTGTTTTGTTTTCTACTTCCAAGTAAATATTTGTGCTACTACAGAATGGCTTGTCTATAAGCCAAATTCCCCTGTTTATCAATAGGTCAGCTCTCTGTACACCAAGCCACAACGCAGTGTTCCCTGGTGCAGTCTTTCAAGTGACCTTAACCTGATGTGGAGATGGCATGCATAGAACAGAGAATTTTATCTCCTTGAGAGCTCAGTGCTTGAACTGTTTACAAAAAGCAGTCTCATGGCACTTCCAAATGATACTGCACTTAATAGGTTTGTGATCGGAATCATTTTTCACTAGGGACATAGATTTCTTCTTAGTTTTGTGACTTTTGCTATGCTAGAGACTCCTGACGATGTTGTCTTTTCAATTAAGGTTGTTGTATTTTAAAACATATTTCTTACCTGGCCAACTTACCCGTAGATGTACAGTCATGTTTGTGGAGAGGAAATCTTAAGTTTTTGCCAGTATATTCTTATTTAATTTTAATGACTAAACATGAGAGTATGCTGATAGAAAATAACATCATGTATTTACAGGCATAAAATAACATAAAATTAGATACACTAATATAACAGCAAACTTGAGTGTTATCTTCTCCCATACAGGTGAACACTACAAGATCCAGCAAGTCTTAAGCTTTATATACTACAAGAGTCATCAATTCAAAGCACATCAGAACCTAAAATTATTGTTTGTAATATAACTCAAGGATTCCTGCTCATGCACTATGTAGTATATCTTCAGTGAAACCTGTGAATCTAGGACATTCCAGAATGCCATGCACATGCAGCACAGGTAAACGACAGGGTTAGCTCACTTCACCACAAGAATAAGAGCTTTGCTGCATGTACTCACACCATAGTGGATGGTAGGTCTGCAGGACATGCTCAGAGCACACCAACTACTTACCAAGAAAAATAGAAGACATTTGAGCTTGACAGCTCCAAGGTTTCCAGAATTTCCCTAACCTATAGCCACAGAAAAACGGTATAGACTAGGCTGAGAGATTATCAGGAACCCTGGACAAATATTGTATTACTAAAAATCCCCTTTTGGCATAATCTCTCGCAAAGATAACTTGTCTGGGAAAGCCAGCAGAATGCTAGCCTGACAAGGCCTGTCTGTTAGAACTAATGAATAAGATGAACACAAGACAATTGAAAACATAGTACAAATAATTAAAAAAATCAAACTACTGCATGCAGTTCTGCCATTAACATCAAAAGCACACAACATAAAGACAGTTCCCATTAAAGAAATCAGAGCTGTTATGCAGTTCTCCAAAGATGGGCCATGTGAATGAGGTAGAGCAGAAGGTCCTTTCTCTGAGAAGCTAAGTTGCAATAGAGCACAATAAATAAATAAATAAATATATAAATAAATAGTGATCTATGCATCCATAGAGTTATTCAGATCATCAGTCAAAACTTAAGATTTCTTCACAGAAATTGAATGAGTGCAGTCAATGATTTTGTTAAGCAGAGTAATTCCTGTATAAGTGTCATGTCTGTTAACTTAAGATATTCATGTTTTCAGCTGAGGCTGTGACGTAAACTAGGGGAGAGAATACAAGGAATTGATACCTTACAACTGCATTAATACAATTAAATTGAATTAATAATGTGAAAGCATACAAAGCTTTCATTCTAAAATTCAGAAGAGAAGAAATAGCTACAGCTTCTCTTAGAATTTTTATTAACCCTATTTCATTCTTAACATCATTTCTTTACATTTCATCAAATGGTATAAAATGCAGATAAAAGCAGACAGACCTTTCCAATAATCCAGCTAGCCCTGAGCTGCAGTATTTTACAAAGATTTGTCCCTGAAGAAATCCTTAGCTTTTCTTTCCCCCGCCCTGTTTTTCAAAATCCTTTATGCTCAGCTCAGTAAAAGGCAAAGGATCACTGATCAGAGCAAACACTGCTGTAGTTGTATGGAAGATGTTGATGGTAAAATATGGTTCACTTGTTGAAGTATATTGAGATGGGACAGCAGGAAATGAGAAATGTTCCACCTGTCTGTTTCTTGAATCACTTGGCTCTTCACAAAGCTTTCTTCATGACTTCTTTATTATGTTGTTCTTTTTGCCTTTGTATTCCCCAGTGAAGAGACATTTCTAGGTTCATTTCAGTAAAGTCAAAATAATTGA